TACTTAGATAAAACGAATCAAAGTTTAGGAGTGGGGGCTGAAACGTCATTTCTTAGTATAAAATGTACTGAGAAGTGACGTCACGCGACATTTCAAATCAATATATCTTCGAAACTATTCGTTTCTGTGAGAAAATAAAAAATACGTGTCTAATGTTTTTAAATAATCTATCAGACGGACATTAAAATAAAAATTAGTCGTCTACCCTATTAGCCAAACGAAGCAATCACATTTATAATCTCATAATTATTAAAATAACATAACATAATATCACGCCTTTTATGGTAGTCAGAACATAATATCACGCCTTTTATGGTAGGCAGAGGTGCACATTATGCCACTGTAAAATGTAACACCCACTTTTCACTATTTATGTTATGAGTCCCATGTAATAGGGAGTGAGCCTATTGCCATATACCGGACACAATTCCAGACTCCGTGATAGTACTGAGATTTTTTTAAAAACCCAGTAATACTTTGCCCTACCGAGACCCCTTACCCGGCAGTCGCACTTACGACCAATCGGCCAACGAGGCAGTAACATTAAAATAACCAAGTAACAATCAATATTCTAAGCCAAGCAATGAGTATTGTTAATAGTTTCCTACATAGAAGATGAGGCAATTTTCCCATGCAAATGTAACCTGAAGTTTGCCTTGATGGCGCGACGTGGTAAACCAATATTGCTATACTATATTGATTTCGCTTTGTAGTCACGATTAATGCGTTTAACGCGATTTTATAACGTATCTACTTCAAGCATTATGCAAAATGAAATGTAATATTATTGCATAATTTTACTATTAAAGTCTACACCACAACAAAACCTATTTCAGCATAATTTTACATTGAACCCTATGTCCATACAGTTTAATAATACCAAAAGCATTCAAATAACGTCAAACGCAATTATAAAGTAATTAAACATAGCACCTAAATACCATGTTTTAGTCAACACTGTTGATTGCAAAACATTACCACAATTAGTCTAATTACACAAGCTAAATGCATAATATGCATAGTTATTGTACAATTACTATGAAACAGCGTTTTAATTTATATCAAACTATCTTTTACCCGCGGCTTAACTCGCGTCACAAAAGGATAAAAAGTAGCCTATGTGACATATAACAATACACACAGCGCCATCTATACCAATACTTTTGTTTTCCCTCGGGAATATCAAATTTTTCCGGGATAAAAAGTACCCTATTATTTAATCCAGACTTCTAACTTTACGTCTGCAAAAATTAAAAGCAATCGGTTTAGTAGTTACGGAGTGAAAGCGGTACAAACAAACAAACAAACAAACTCACTTTCAGATTTATAATATTAGTAAGGATAGCATCGAATTTTCTGGAATGTTTGTAGCGTGACCTAGTGGTTTGGTGGTTTAGCTATTTGACCTTCGTAACAAGATGTAGGTACACCCGTATGATGTGGGTACTGCGGACATCCAAAGGGGTCACAAACATTCTTGTTTTTTTATCATGGTTTTCTGGGGAACATAGGTATCTACTTCAAGAATGTTGGCAAATATTTTTATCGTGCCCGTTACAATCTTCGCTTATTGTTGACGGAAGTTTTTGTGTACCTATTCCGAATTAGATAAGAATTGCAAATGTTGTTTGGGGAATTGTCAGAAGTGTATTCTGACTTGGGTGTTGTTGTTGCAAAAAATAAGCCTCGAGTTTCCTGAGTCGAAATTTTTATATGTTTTTTGTTTTGTTATAGAAAAAGCTCTTTTATTAATTTTAAGTGAGTACTCGGAATCTCAGTTTTACGTAATTGTTTTTTTAACAGAACGATAAATTTTTCCTCATTAAATAGTAGTTTATAACTTGTGACTATTAATAAACTCCTTGTCCTAAGTTATAGCTTACTATCCGGCAATCAGTCTGCTCCCTATCCCAAAAATCAGTCTTCTATCGCCATTGAACTAAAAATCTGGAACAAGTCTGCAAGGAACATCTCGAATAAGGATATAAGGGTCAGCCTAAGATCCACTTGAATGCAACTATGCGACCTTCGCGTTATTGTTTCAACGAGATGAAGCGGCCACAGGATGTACACTCACACGCAACTGTGAGTTACGACTGCACGACGACACTTTTTTAAATCACATCCACTTACGTACGCCTACTTAATAATTTGACTAAGTATTGGATTGTGAAACTAATAGAAAAGAAATAAGGAAGGAAAAAGCACTTATTTCACACGCTAAAAACAAGTGACATGTACAAATTGTAAACGTTTAAATATGTTAGATACTTATTGGTACATGTTCCTGCCCCAAGTCTGCGGCGAAATGGGACGCAAGACGACCTTGCGCTGGTATTCTACTGGCCCCTTATATTAAACATATTTTATTAATAAGGTGCCCTTAGAATACAAGGTCTTGCGCTGGTATTGTACTAGACTTTTTTTTAAGGGGGGAAAATCATCGAATTACTGCTCCCGCCTGGGTGAGGCGGGAGGGAGTGCCAAACTCTTACTGACTACAAACCACCCCGTTCCTTCTCCTGCGCTTCGAGCCGAAGCCCCGGTTACCCGTTAAGTTCTCCGCGACATTGTACTAGACTACATGTAGAAAGAGAGTAACCGTGAAGTTTCTTGCTCGTTCTTCTTCATAGAAACCATCATAGTACCTAGTTTTACTAGATGATTGACCGACAGACATTAATTTTTATTTTGTTTGACGATTAAAAGTACCTAAAATGGGTCTACTCAAGTAAAATAGTCAACTAAAGTAAATTAAGAGTTGTTATATCAATTTAAGAAAAGTAATTATGGTTGGTATTTGAGTTGCTAAGTAAGTATCTAGTGTTTTTTCAACCTGTAAGAGACTATTTGTACACCCGAATTGGGGGCAGAATAAAATATGTGCTACCTACTTTATAATTATAAACCAACCTACTTTATAAATATTTACCATTTTCGTGCAAATAATTTGGTTTTATCTTTTAGTTGGTATAACGAAATCACACTGTCTGGTCCTAAAAAGTGTTGCAAATGAGTTTAATTTAGATTCAGACAGAATTCTTCATCAATTTGTTTTTTTTCTTATTTGTTACTGCTATTTAACACTCAGTACTTACAGCAACATTAATATTCATCTAACCCTGAATTGCAACCGAATATTTCTATCAAAAAATCCCTTTTTAATTGCATTCAAAAATGTAGCCGTAGCCATCTTAAATTAAGACATGTACATGAATTAATGAGAGCTGACACGACGCTTGATGATGATTCATGACGCGACTGTACCGTGCTAAGTAATTCAATGAGACAATTGACTAAATAGTTTGTTTCGCTGAGAGTTGATACCCAATTGTACGTGATTATTGTGAATATGAAAAATGTATTACGTTAATTGTTCGGATAGCAACTTTATTGTGTGAGTAATAGTTGCTATTTTTAGTTTTAATGACTGTATGAACTTTAGACACAAAGTAATTGGCAAAACAGTTGGGTCGTTAATCTACACATGATTAGTATGAGCTAACTAACGCTAAATAAAGTTTTTGCAAATGACTGTTGAGTATACTCAAGTATGCTTAGAGAGATTAGTTAATGATTGCGTGTCAAATTAGCTGGCAGTTAATCAAATGAATTAACTCACATAAAGGCATTGTGCAATTAATTCCAAGGAGGTCCAATTATCCTCCCCTTCCCCAATCTCCCCAATCCCTGAATCCCCAACGATCCTCAAACAACTAATCCCCAAAAAGCCGGTAACGCACTTGTAACGCCTCTGGTGTTCCAGGTGTCCATGGGCGACGCCGATTGCTTACCATCAGGTGATCCGTATGCTCGTTTACCGGCTTATGCCATAAAAAAAAATCAGTGGCCCGTTTGAAATTACAAATATCTAGTCTAACATGAGCAAAAATCCCCATTTGTCCATTTATAAACTTGAGTTTTATGTGACTTTTTCCGAGTTATATGTACTTTCTTTGATTATTCAGACACCATTGACAAACGGTGAAGGAAAAACATCGTGAGGAAACCTGGGCTTATAATTTCTAATTATAAGTTTGTAATCGCTAACCCGCATTGAGCAAGCGTGGTGATTAATAAAAAAAAAAAAAATGATGATGATGATGATGAAACTTGAGTCTTTGGGCAATCTGTGACAGGAAAAACCAGACCACTGATAATATTGCGAAAATTGACTGATACTAATCCACTTGGTAGCAGGCCAAAAACAAGACTTATAAGCTTAGGCAATACCTGATGATTAACAAGAATTCCCACTGATGCAGTGAGATCAAAACGACAAATATAGGAGCTTACATGTTTGTTCTGCGAAATAAAAAGATGATTCGCAAATGTTTATAGCTTTAGATTGGATGACAGCCAGCGGTTTTTAGATGATGACTCTGATTTTAGTTGTATTGTTCTGTTGTCTGTCTGATAACAGCTATAGTGAGGTCCAAGGCATGCAGAGGTATTCACAAAAGGTTTTATGTGGATGTAAATGGTTTTTGATTATGCTAAATGTGTTATTGATTGAACAATAGTAAATGCAATAGCTACACATGCGGGTTCGGCTTCGTGTTTGCCTAAAGAAATATATTAGACAAACCCAGAGCTATGTTTATAAAGATTACACCTGTATTAGAGCATTCTTTCGGTACATACATAACATCACGCCTTTTATCCCCGAAGAGGTAGGCAGAGGTGCACATTACGGCACTTAATGCCACTGTACAATGTAACACCCACTTTTCACTATTTATGTTATGAGTCCCATGTAATAAGGGGTGAGCTTATTGCCGGTATATACCGGGCACAATTCCAGACTCCGTAATACTACTGAGAATTATTTTAAAAACCCAGTAATACTTTGTGCGACCCGGGAATCGAACCCGAGACCCCTTGCCCGGCAGTCGCACTGGCGACCACTCGGTCAACGAGGCAGTCTTTCGGTACAATGCCATAAAAATCCCCTTCAAAAAGTATTAACACTGTCTCAAAGATCTTCTTTCGCGTTCCAGGTGTTAACGGGCGCAGCGTTTCACCACAAGATCTGGTCATGGTACTACACGTACAAGATGCCACCGGAGATCAGGAGCTGGGTGGACGACAACTTCAACTGCGAGGATATTGCCATGAACTTCCTCGTCGCTAATGTTACTAGGAAGGCGCCAATTAAGGTAATACATATTAATATATCAGATGTAACTGCTAGCTAGTGCATTGTTCGGCAAGAAATACACATGCTTTTTTCTGCAGATAGTTGATTTGGATCTTGTAGCTATCCCAACAGGCAAAGACTTTGTTTCAAATAGAGAAAGATTTAGCATTGGTCATTCTTGATGAATTTTACTGCTGTCAAACTTAATTTTTGCTACATTTACCTCGAAAAAGTCACCTCTAAATTGTTTGATTTTGTGCTTGTATTTCGCTTGAAAAATGGGTGTTTTGCCCTCAGGGTCACCGTGACATTTAAGGTCTTTCTTTCGTTCAGTTATATTTTTAGAATTGACATTGTTTTATTCGACCTAAGCGAGCATAGATAATATTTTCAGGTGAACAAACAATCTTCTATTCTGCTACAGTTAATATGACTATTTTGACTATCTAATATATCATAAAAAAATCATTAAAACATAGAAATAACCTAAACAAGATCTTAAACAAATTCCAGGTGACGCCTCGCAAAAAATTCAAGTGTCCAGAATGCACGAATACAGAGATGTTATCAGCCGACGCTAGGCATATGTCGCAGCGGTCGGCGTGCATCGCTCGCTTCGCAGAAATATACGGCCACATGGCCTTACAGCCAGTCGAGTTTAGAGCTGACCCGCTCCAGTACAGGGAGACTGGATCGGGAATACCGCACGCGTACCCGGACATAGGCGCGTTGTAAGGTAAGGTTTTGGGGGCCCTCTTAACGAACTGTTTTGAAATTAACACAATTTTAGAAGGTGGCTGTATTCAGGTTTTAGTACAATCAGCTTCAAAGATTTGGTGATTGTAGCATTGTACAGTCAACCGCAAAAACTACTTAATTTCATCAAAATTAACGAGCCAGTCGATTTTTAAGTACTGTTAAATTAGAAGAGGGCCTCGAATGTTAGATTTAATGGAAAGTAGGTGGTACGGACAATAACAAAATGAATGAAGGCTGTAAGAGAAATAAAAAATGGGATTTCGTCCCCAATACCAGGGTATGTAGAGTTAAACTGCCATTATTTCATTAAATTCCCCGATACACCCCAAGTTTGTACATATGCGGTAGGAAATCTATAATTTCTACGTCGATAATATGCCAACTATGTCCCTATCAAAGTTTTAAACATTAAATATACAAGTGTAACAAAATTATGTTAAGAAATAATAAAAAAAATGATCAAAAAGGCTATGAACAAATATAATGCAATTATTATTAAAATATTTTTAAGTACCTATCCTACTACTTTCATTTAGATTTTCTACCGTAAATGTACAGTGCGCACGAAAATATGTAGCCACCGACGTAGGCCCATTGGACTATTTAATTAAGTATAAATTATTCTCATATTTTATCTTTCCGTGCAATACGAGAACAATGTATACTAGAGAGCAAATAAAAATAATCTGAGCCTTTAGCCAAACGCCACTTTAGCGCTTGTCTACAGAGAGTAGAAATCAAAATGTATGGGGATGACACTGACAAGTGTCAAAATTTACGTCAATTCCATATAAATTGGTTTTCTATTCTACATGTAGACAAGCGCTAAATGGCATTTGGCTACAGCTGCCGATGAACCTATTCTGACGTTTGGCTGCATATTGTTCGTTGTGAAAAAAATCCCTTATCCTTATTTTAAGGACTTGCGTTGTGAGCTTACGAATGCCTTCGGATTATTTTGACGATATACAAATGTCAAATTATAGTGTTATGGATATAGTTTGTTGGTTGTTTATTTATTGTTTGTATTTAATGAGCTTCTAACTGGCTTTTGTGTCTCTTAAAGATTTGTTTTATTAGCAATTTTCTAAACTTTTATTTATTTCCGATTGAACTGTCTTTTTGATTAAAAAATGTGTTCTTATATTTTAATGTTTTCAAAAATGTATGTTATTTCATGATCGCTTACGACATGGAACTAATAGTACATACAATTTTATTTATTAATTGTATCTATTTAGTAATAGAATAAAATAAATCTTTGAAAGATACAAAACGCCTGAGCTTTTACAGAACATGGTCCCCGACATACGCGTCTCAACTCAGACATATCCAAATGCAGAGCATTAGCTAGTAATGTTTCAAATGATTTCAAGCCTTGCGCCGATATTAATGGTGGTGACTGTATTTTTCTGCCAAACTTTGCATTTAATTTGAATTTTAGTTAATGTATTTGTATTTAAAATAAGATTTTAGTGAAAGTCGCTCTCTATTTTTAAGGAATTTACGCCAAAATCTTTAAAAGATGCACTTAGTGCGTGTTCATTTATGCTATAAGGCTTTTTTATTTAATCACTGCCTCAGTTTATATCGAAAACTTGTGTTTTTTATATAGATTGTTCTAATAACCGAAGAATTCCACAAACTAAATAAAAAAATCCTCCGTCATATTTTTTCTTAAAAAAAGTTTCATCCATAGATATCGGCGTTAAAGGTGACCTCATACTTGCCATTCCTTTGACCAGTATAAAATATAATAGTTTTGTCTACGACAATAAGTCTGTAAGTAGTTAGTAAAGGTACCCAATTGGTTTCGATGTCAATTCTTAACTGTTTAATATTTGATGTATTCATTCCAGGTGTTTGCTAAAATTGGACGACATTTTTAGTGATTTTTTTTACGATGTACAGTCACTGTGTTTATGAAGTGTCTATTGAACAATTATGTAAAAAGCATACTTTTTTATAACAATAATGTTTTTTTAGCTGTCGAATACCTATAAGATTGAATTAATAGCATATCCCCCCAATTTTAGCGAACAACTTGAACAGAGAACAAAAAGTAATTAAATGTTATTTGTAAACAAACAAAAATGTTTGCCTGTTTATAAATAACATAGTAAATGTTTAGTGTAAAGCTATCTGTCCTTAGACGAGTAATGAAATGATATTCTAAAGTGTTAGTGAAGGTATAACATAGTAATATATAGACATATAGCGAAATAGTCCATCTTAACATATCGGTGCTTGCGCGATGAAATAATTCTAATTCCTAATAATTTAAATTGTGTAGATATTGTAATAATTACGTAAGTATCGCACGATATATAAGTAGTGAGATATGAATAGATATATTAGTGTATAATTTAGTCGAAATCTATGTATGTAATAGGTATATTATATGTATTTTTTATTATATTTTTTGTATTTACCAACTTTTTTGATGGGGCGTAAATAGTGACGTTTCTATTGTTAGTCAAACGAAATTATGTGAGTAATAATAATTACGTTTTCACAATTTTATGTCTTATCTGAAAAGTTTCGGGGTATTGTGCGAAAATACGTTGGAAATTTAGAATTTTCAACATTAATTTATTGAGTAATATCATTGTACGTAGACAATTGACGCGTTTTTTGATGTCAGTGAGGAATTTTAATGTCTTAGATGTGATGACAGATTAGCTATCTTAAATCCTAACTTTTTCACTGCTTATAGAACTTAACTTAGATTTTGTGTTCTTTATAAAATAAAATATGGAATTTAGAACTGCTATCACATTCTAAAATCGACCTTATTATCGTATCCGTAGATCATTATGTTCACAAAATGTTTTTATGCACCTATTTTATATTAACATTTTTGTATTGAAAACAAAGTTTTCGCAAAACCCAGCAATAAGTACATACCTAATAAAAATGAATTGATTTTCTATTCCCAATCAAGTTAGTATTTCTAATCATAATTTTTAATTCATATATTTATTTTGTCTGTTATCGCGTAATCATTTTTCGAACACAATTTATTTTTATTAGTTGGTAAAACTTTTTATTATTTTTGTAAGTGGTCACATTAATCTATAGTGACATTTCGTGACGTAACGATAAATGTTGAAAGTAAAAAAAAATAATTTCGAACAGACTGAAATGCAAGCTGCTAATTATGGTAGCATTTAATAAATATAAATAAATACATTTTAGGGAGATTTTTTCTTTTAAATGTTAGCCAAAGACCTAAACGACTAGTCGCAGAGATGTATTTATTATTTTCGCATTTAATTAATTAAGTGGATACTCTATGTCGTGTTGTGTTGTTACCAAACTGTCAAGTGTCAGACTGATGTAATGTTTTATGTCGTAGGAGTTATGCTAGATGCTAGGTAGAGGGTGACTAGGAGTGTTGAGACGAAGGTAAGAAGACATAGTGACGGAAAACTGCAATTTTTGTCTTAAGTTATCTGGATATTTCCATCAGCTTTAGCTTGATCAGGTCGATTAAACTTAAAGAGCGATAGGCAAGCTCCTCATAGGTGCCCCTAATTAATATAACATGGCACTTGCCTAGTTTATCTTAGGGAAACTACGACTCTGTGCTAAACTGACAATGCTACAAAAAATCTTGGAACAATTATAGAAAGTACGCAGTATTTTTAAGTTTTTCGTCACTATATTTTGTTATTAGAGTCTCAAACGAAAGTAGAATGTTTAGATTGGCCTACATGAGTGACAAATTAAGATGATATAAAAGTAATATTAATTTAATGAACAAAGTCAATTACCTATTTGTGTTTTTATTAAATTATTTACAATCTTATAATTAGTTTGAGTTGTCTGATTCAGTTTAAAATGCAACACAAAAATTGAGGTCTTTATAAAACAATGTTAAATGTGACCCCACTGTGTTGACAGTATCTAAAACACCGGTAGCGACATCTACTGTGCGCAAAAATGACAACTCGAACTGAAACATATAGGTTCTTGACATTTTTTTGTAATTCGGTTGTTATCGTATTATTATTATTTTTCTAAAAATATTATTGTTTTGGAAAAATGCAGTAATCAATGTTTTAATTTGTCTCACAGGTCCTAAGTACAGTCGTGTGTAAAATTCATTGTAATTTTGTGTAAATTATTTTAATTTAGGTAATGGGGTTTAGAGGTTTTATAGAATCAATTATGATGAGAGATGAATAAATATTATTTAGCACTAGTTTCTAAATCTTGATGCTAATAGTTCCCAAAATAGTAAAAATGCATTATTCTTCTTTATTAAAAAGTTGTATGTCAATGATAATAATTACCCAATTTAAAAAGGAAAATACCGTTTTTTGAAAATTGAACCTTATTTGTGTGGACAATAAAGCAGGTTTTTATAACCATGATTGGTTTTACGGTGAAGATGACAATGCGGTATTTTTTTAATAAAGTAATATTTATTTATCTCAAATTATTTTTAAGTTAATGTACATATTTAATTGTTGTGTTTCTAATCTTGTAATTAATTTATATACCTGTGAGACTCCGTATTATTGGAACTGAAGCAGCTATTATTTATTCGCTTCAGTTGTTCAGACGTCATTATCAACTTAACCGGTTGTCAAATTTCTTCAATAGATTATCAACTTAAATTCAAAATTATAAAAAGTCAATGTTGTATAATGACTATTCTACGACATGCTAGACATGCATATCTTATTTTCGTAAAGTCTTCAAGGATGCTCGTCTAATTTCAAGCCAAACAGGAGCTCATAATAATGAGCTGTGAACATGTAAAACAGTCTTGATATCAGTCGAGCATACTTAAATATCAATTGAAGAGATTTGATAATTCAATATAGGTTGTACATAATTATGGCATCTATATTTGTAGACTTTAAGCAATAATTGTTTGGTTTGTATAGAAAGAGAAGGAGGTAATTGTAAATATTATGACGTCTCGTCTCCAATGCATGAAACATGCAAATAAATAGAATATGTGT